ACAGTGTTGGTAAGTACACGTATCGCTCTCAGAATGATCAGGCGCGTTCGCCTGTTGAATCCAGAGGTCTGAACTCGGTCTGCTACCCGAGCTAGGTCCGCAAACCTATTCCTAATATTCGAGTGAACTTCATATGCGTGGTTAGTATTTTCTGCTTAACTCGAGTTCTAGGGCAGCTAGAGTGCTGGTCAGTACACCTATCGCACTCAGAATCATCAGGCGCGGTCGCCTGTCGAATCCATAGGTCTAAACTCGGTCTGCTAGCCGGTCTAGGTCCGCAAAACTATTCGTATTATTCGAGTCATCTTGACAAACGCTCTCGGTAATCCCGAGAGGTACTCTCGGTTTTCTGCTCTTAACTCAGGCTGTATGGGTGGCTGCAGAGCTGGTAATCACAGGAATCGATCCGCAGACATCAGACGCGTTCGCCTGTCGCATTCAGAGGTCTGAACTCGGTTTCATGCTCGAGCTCGATTGGAAAACTGTTCGTTTGTTTTGTTAGAGTCATCTTGAGAGGTCTATAATCGCTTGGGCTGAAAAACTAGTCGTTCTCCGAAATTTTTTTCCACATTATATATTGTCAGGAAGCTCTACGAGTCCCCCGGCGGTAAGAAAGGTTGACGGTTTACCGCCGGCGCCCAGGAACTCGTAGAGCTTCCCTTAGCAAGTTACTGCTGGAAGCTTAAGAGTAATTCCGGGGAGCTGGAGAGCTAGTTGGCAAGAAAAATCTCGACGGACCTTTTGCTGACTTTTGGTCGGTTGAAAATTTTGTTCTCGAAATTTGAACATTCGTTAGAGCTCTAGTATTTTTTCCATGATATTCGATCTTATTCCCGCTCGCCATCTTGATCTCAGCTCGATCGGGTAACTTTGAAGGCCAAAAAGCAGGCAGGCGGGAACGGCCGTTTCGAGTCATCTTGATAGGCGCTGTCGGTTTTCTCAAGATAACTCGAGCTTCAGGACACCTACAGAGCTGGTCAGCACAGCTAATGCGTTCAGAATGATCATGCGCGTTCGCCTGTTGAATCCAGAGGTCTGAACTCGGTCTGCTAGCCGAGCTAGGGTCGCAAACCTATTCGTATTATTCGAGTCATTGTAGCAGACGCTCTCGGTTTTTCGTACTTAACTCGATCTGTAGGCAGCCACAGAGCTCATAATCACAGAAATCGATTGAGAATCATTAGGCGCGTTCGTCTGTTGAATCAAGACTACTGAGCTTCGGCCTGCTACCTGAGCTAGGTTCGCGAACCTATTGGTATTGTTCGAGTCATCTTGAGAATTGCTCTCGGTTTTCTGTACTTGAATCGTGCTGGGGGAGGGCTACAGTGCAGCTGGTCACAGGAATCGATTTCGAGACATCAGGCGCGTCCGTTCGTCGAACCGAGAGCTCAGGACTCGGTCTGCTGCTCGAACGAGATCCGCGAAACTGTTGTAAAACTGTTGTTATTGTTCGAGTCATCCTAAAATCTACTCTCGGTTTTCTGCCACTTAACTCTCGCTGTATGGGGGGCTGCAGAGCTGGTAATCAACAGGAATCGATCCGCAGACTCAGACGCGTCCGCTTTTTGTTTTTTGTTTTGTCCCTTGCATTCAGAAGGTCTGAACTCGGTTTCATACTCCTAGCTCGATTGGAGACTGTTCGTTTGTTTTGTTAGAGTCATCTTGGAGGTCTATAATCGCTTGGGCTGGAAAACTGTCGTTCTTGAAATTCTTTTCAGAAAAACCATTATCTATTGTCAGGAGCTCTACGAGTCCCCCGGCGGTAAGAAAGGTGACGGTTTACCGCCGCGCCCATAACTCGTAGAGCTTCCCTTAAGCTTAGTTATACTCAAGCTAAGAGTAATTCGGCGCGCCCACAGCTAGTTGGCTCGAAAATCTCGACGGAACTTTTGACAACTTTTGCTCGGTTGAAAATTTCGTTCTCGAAATTTGACCATTCGTTAGAGCTCTAGTATTTTTTCCCGTGATATTCGATCTATTCCCGCTCGCCATCTTGATCTCAGCTCGATCGGGTAACTTTGAAGGCCAAAAAGCACTCTGGCGGGAACGGCCGTTTCGAGTCATCTTGATACGCGCTGTCGTTTTTCGAACATAACTCGAGCTCTAGGGCAGCTACAGAGCTGGTAAGCACAGCTAATAATGCCATGCAGAAGGGGGGGTCGGGTGATCGGCAGCGTTCGCCTGTTTTGACCCCAGAGGCCTGAAACTCCGAGGATCTGCTACAGAGCTAGGTCCGCAAACCTATTCGTATTATAAACTCGTATAGCTTTACCTTACATTTAATAGCTGGAAGCTAAGAGTATTCGGCGCGACCCAAGCTAGTTTGGCTCGAAAAATCTCGACGGAACTTTTGACAACCTTTGCTCGGTTGAAAATTTCGTTCTCGAAATTTGAACATTCGTTAGAGCTCTAGTATATTTTCCCGTGATATTCGATCTTATTCCCGCTCGCCATCTTGATCTCAGCTCGATCGGGTAACTTTGAAGGCCAAAAAGCAGGGGGGCGGGAACGGCCGTTTCGAGTCATCTTCATGCGCGCTGTCGGTTTTCTGAACATAACTCGAGCTGTAGGGCAGCTACAGAGCTGGTAAGCACCGCTAATGCATGCCGAATGCTCAGGCGCGCGTTCGCCTGTTGAACCCAGAGGTTCTAACTCGGTTCTGTCACCGAGAGCTAGTCAGAAACCCTGTTTGTATTATTCGAGTCAAGTTGATCACGTTGTCGTATTTTCGACTTACTCGAGCTCTAGGGCAGCTACAGTATCTGGTAAGCACTCGTATCCCCTATCCCACTCAGAATGATCAGGCGCGTTCGCCTGTTGAATCCAGAGGTCTGAACTCGGTCTGCTAGCCGAGCTAGGGTCGCAAACCTCTTCGTATTATTCGAGTCATTGTAGCAGACGCTCTCGGTTTTTCGTACTTAACTCGATCTGTAGGGCAGCCACAGAGCTGATAATCACAGAAATCGATTGAGAATCATCAGGCGCGTCCGTCTGTTGAATCAAGAGCTCTGAACTCATCTGCTATCCGAGCTAGTCCGCAAAACCTATTCGTAATTATTCCGAGTCAACTTGATGACGCGTTTGTCGGTATTTTCTATTCAACTCGAGCTTTTTAGGGCAGCTACAGTGCTGGAACACACCTACTCGCAAACTCCAGAATCATCAGGCGCACTTTCGGCTGTTGAATCGAGAGCTGAACTCGGCTGCTGCTCGAATCCAGATCACGAAACTGTTCGTATTCTTCCGTCATCTTGAGAGCTGCTGTCGGCGTTCTGCACTCAATTCGGGATGTAGGGAGGCTACAGGGCGGGTAATCAATGGGATCGATTCGGAGACATCAGACGCGCCCGTCTGTCGCATTCAGAGGTCTGAACTCAGTCTGAAACTCGAGTTCGGCTCAAAAACTATTCGTTCTCTGCAATTTTTTCGACAGTTATATGTGTCCAGGAGCTCTCGGTCCCCCGGCGGTACAAAGGTTGACGGTTTAACCGCCGGCGCCCAGTTGGCCCAGCCGGCCAGAAAGGACAATGTGACAACTTTTGGGTGGTTTTGCGATTTTTTGAAGATATTTGACCATTTATTTTGAGAAAGCAGATTTTTACGCCGAGTATTGGCATATAAACTTCCCTCTAACAGCAGCTAAGCTCTCTCGATGCATTTTTACAGGAGCTGACTTCCAGGAACTAAGCGAATATGAAAATCGAAAAAATCGAACTTCAAGATTTTTTAAAAATCTGATTTTTTGACTCTGGTGTCCGATTCTTCTGCACTCTTACCAGTAGAGAAGCTCTACGAGGGTTCCCTCGGTGACCCCAGGTTGACGGTTCACCGCCGGCGCCAAGTTCCGGGGCGCTGGAGAGCTAGTTGGCAAGAAAAATCTCGTCGGACATTTTGGGGACTTTTGGTCGATTCAAAATTTTGTTCTCGACATTCAACTATTCGTTAGAGCTCTAGTATTTTTTCCCGTGCTATTCGATCTTATTCCCGCTCGCCGTCTTGATCTCAGCTCGATCGGGTACCTTTTACTGCCAAAAAGCAGGCAGGCGGGATCGCCCGTTTCGGGTCATCTTGTCACGCGGTGATGGTTTTCTGCAGATAACTCGAGCTTGAGGACAGCTACAGAGCTGGTAAGCACAGCTAATTGATTCAGAATGATCAGGCGCGTTCGACTGTTGAACCCAGAGGTCTGAACTCGGTCTGCTAGCCGAGCTAGGTCCGCAAACCTATTCGTATTATTCGAGTCCACTTGATACGCGTTGTCGGTATTTTCTACTTAACTCGAGCTGTAGGGCAGCTACAGTGCTGGTAAGCACTCGTATCGCACTCAGAATGATCAGACGCGTTCGCCTGTTGAATCCATAGGTCTGAACTCGGTCTGCTAGCCGAGCTAGGTCCACAAACCTATTCGTACTATTCGAGTCCACTTGATACGCGTTGTCGGTATTTTGTATTTAACTCGAGCTGTAGGGCAGCTACAGTGCTGGCAAGCACACCTATCGCACTCAGAATAATCAGGCGCATTCGCTTGTTCAATCCAGAGCTCTGAACTCGGTCTGCTAGCCGAGCTAGGTCTGCAAACCTATTAGTATTATTCGGGTCAACTTGATACGCGTTGTCGCTATTTTCTACTTAACTCGAGCTGTAGGGCAGCTACAGTGCTGGTAAGCTCAGCTATCGCACTCAGAATAATCAGGCGCGTTCGCCTGTTGGATCCAGAGCTCTGAACTTTGTCTGCTGCGCGATCTAGAATCACGAAACTGTTCGTATTCTTCCAGTCATCTTGAGATCTACTGTCGGCGTTCTGCACTTAGCTCGGGCTGTAGGGGGGCTGCAGGGCGGGTAATCACAGGGATCGATTCGGAGACATCAGACGCCTCTGTCTGCTGCATTCAGAGGTCCGAACTCGGTCTGATACTCGAGTTGGGCTCAAAAACTATTCGTTCTCTGCAATTCTCTTCGAGATTATATGTTATCAGGAAGCTCTACGAGTCCCCCGGCTCAAGTAACGTGTCGGCTCAAGTAACGTGTACACACATACTTGTCCCCGATACCGTACCTCGGGCTTAGACTGGCCGATCGCGGAAGTTGCTGGCGCGAGCTGGCGGCGGAAGCGTGACGAGCCTGGGACGCCCGGGGTTTCTCTTCACTGCCTCGAGTGGTGCTCGCAAGTCTTGGTTCTTTCAGATCTGCCTTGAGTGGATTGCATTTTGATCAATTTGCTGTGTATCATTGTTGTGATATCTCAGGTGTTCTCACACATCTCCCCTCAGTGGTTCGCCATATACCTACCTTTCGTGATCTTGTTTGTGCCAGATGCCTCATGTGCGGAGTCTCGCATCCAGGTGTAGACGTCGGGCTCGGGCTTGCCAACTTCGCTGGGTTCGACAGGATTGTCCTCTTCCGTTGGTGCTCGATGGCCTAGTCGCCCGTGACACGGTATTGCATGAAGAGTTGGATACTAAGGCTAATGAGCGTGACACGGTATTGCATGAAGAGTTGGACTAAGGCTATTGAGTTGTTGACTGCATTACTCCATCCCTCCGATAGCTGCGCAATAGTTGATTCAGTTGTAGCTCCCGACACGTCTCCTTCTAGGAGTGTTCGGGTCGAGGATTGTGTTCCAGAGGTCCGCTACGCGTCTTCAATGGAGGATGGGACCCAGGTTGACTGCCCAAGGAAGCTTTCAGTTCGTACGTGAGTTGCTTCAGTTTCAGTCCATGGAAGTGGAATCGTTGCCAGTGGTATGGAGTCGAGGGCGCTTGGATGGTGGAAATCTCGACAGAGTATTGCTGGGGAGTGGCTCGGTACTGCATCTGTCTCGCGTTCGCTTTCTTCCCCATCGCGTGATGTTCGGAGTTCTTCTTATGGGAGTGATGATGATGTTCCTGCGGTCCGCTACACACCTTCATATGACCCTATCGCCGAAAATGAGCGTGAAGTGTACGATTCAAGTTCTGATGATGTCGACGCCATGGACGATTGGCAAATTGGCGTGAGATACGCGGCTGAGATCAATGACGTTTTGGCTCATATCGAGGTCTCTGTGGAAGTTCTAGGTAATGATGTTCTTCGGGATAAACATCTTGCCACTCAGCTGGAGATAGATAAGACTGGTGAATATCTTGCCATTGGAACTCGAGGTTTGGAAGCTCACGATCTGCTGGATGAGCTTTATAGGCTGCATAAGGCGAAGGATGATCGTTGGCATGGGTTTATTTCACGGCTAAGGGATGATGAATTCTTGACAAAGGCCGAGCGGCAAAACTGCGTGAGTAATCTGTTGATGGTCCATGATTTGAAGTTGGAAGACATTCGGGAACACATTAAGACAGGGACGGAGTTTGAATATGGACGCGAGAAAGAAATAGAGGAATTGAGCTTGTGTATGGATGCGTGGAAAGATTTTCTTATGAGTATGTCTGGCTCCTTCTAGTCCCCTCCATTGTGTGATAACTTGTCATGTCTTGAACTTGGTCTTGGGCGTGCCGTGTTTCGTTGAGTGGTCTCCCCTTCGTGTCACAACGCGACGCCCGCGGATCCTTTCAGAGTGTATGACAGTGTTTTGAATTCTCTGCAGTTTCAGAATATACAACAGTTTCCTCCCTACATCCCGAACGCCGAGAGCAATAGGGTAATCATGTATACACATTCTACCCTATCGATTGTGCGTTCTCACAGGTTGTTCTATGGATGACACAAACTTGATATTTGCAGTTTCTTCTCTCAATGCCAGCTCCTACGGTTCTCAATGCCAGCGCCTATGATTCGTCTCAATGCCAGCTCCTACGATTCTTCTTAATGCCTGCTCCTACGGTTCTTCTCATTGCCTGCTCCTACGATTCTGCATATATTGTGTTTCTGCGTTTGTATTTGTATTTCATGAATGTGATTGGTTATTCAGTACAGCTTCGCTGATATTAGCAGCTTCGCTGCCTCTGAGTTCCCTTGAGATCATGTTTTATAAGTGCTTCCGCACACACGTTTGGTGTGTCCGTCGACGCCTGACCTTGTGCTTGCTCGTGGCCCTAGGGCCAGTCCGAGCCTCGCAAAGCCGCAAAGCAAAAACAAAGGTTGACGGTTTACCGCCGGCGCCCAGTTGGCAAGAAAAATCTCGACGGAACTTTTCACGACTTTTGCTCAGTTGAAAATTATGTTATCGAAATTTGACAATTCGTTAGAGCTCTAGTATTTTTTCCCGTGATATTCGATCTTATTCCCGCTCGCCATCTTAATCTCAGCTCGATCGGGGAATTTTGAAGGCCAAAAAGCACACTGGCGGGATCGGCCGTTTCGAGTCATCTTGATACGTGTTGTCGGTATTTTGCACTTAACTCGAGCTGCAGATCAGCTACAGAGCCGGTAAGCACAGCTTATGCATGCAGAATGATCAGGCGCGTTCGCCTGTTGAACCCAGAGGTCTGAACTCGGTCTGTGAGCCGAGCTAGGTCCGGAAACCTGTTCGTATTATTCGAGTCATCTTGACAGAAACTCTCGGTTTTCTGGTTTTAACTCGAGCTGTAAGACAGCTACAGAGCTGGCAAGCACATCTATCGCAGTCAGAATCATTAGGCGCGTTCGTCTGTTAAATCTAGAGGTCTGAACTCGGTCTGCTAGCCGAGCTTGGTACGAAAACCTATTCGTATTTGAACCATCTTGATAGGCGCCCTCGGTTTTCTGTACTTAACTCCAGCCGTAGGGCAGCTACAGAGCTCGTAGTCACAGAAATCTATTGGAAATCACCAGGCGCCTTTGTTCGTTGACTCTAGAGCACTCAACTTGGCCTGCTGCCCGCACTAGATTCGCAAAACTATTCGTATTCTTCGTGTTATCCTGAGAAGTGCTGTCGTTATTTCGTGCTTGGGGGAGGCTACAGTGCTGCTGGGGACAGCAACTCGGGCTGTAGGGGGGCTGCAGGGCTGGTAATGATAGAAATCGACTCGCAGACATCAGACGCGTCCGCCTGTCGCATTGAGAGGACACAAAATATAACTATGAGTCGGAATGTTGGTAGGTCCTCGGTGTTCTCAACTTCGTCGAGCTGCAAGCTCAACGAGTCTCCCGGCGGTCACCAAGGTTGACGGTTTACCGCCGGCGTCCAGTCCGGAGCGCTGGAGAGCTAGTTGGCAAGAAAAATCTCGACGGACCTTTTGGTGACTTTTGGTCGGTTGAAAAATTTGTTCTCGAAATTCAACAATTCGTTTGAGCTCTAGTATTTTTTCCCGTGTCGATCTTATTACCTCGTAGAGCTCTTCGACATCGATGAGCTAGAGGAATTCCGGCGCGGGGTGGAGCTAGTTGGTCGACCCGGCCAGAAAGGACAAAGTGATAACTTTGGGGTGGTTTTGCAATTTTTTGAAAGATATTTGACAATTCAATTTGAGAATGCAGATTTTTGCGCGTCGCATTGGCATATAAAATTCTCTCTGACAGCAGCTCAGCTCTGCTGATGCATTTTTGCAGGAGTTGACTTCCGGGAACCAGGCGAATATGAACATTGGAAAAAATCAAAAATTACTATTTTCGAAAAATCTCTATTTTTTGAGTTTATGTCGATTCTCAGCAATCTTACCAGTGGAAGGAGCTCTGCGAGGTTCCCGGCGGTGACCAGGTTGACGGTTCACCGCCGGCGCCAGTCCCGCTCGCGATCTTGATCTCAGCTCGATCGGGTACCTTTTACTGCCAAAAAGCGTCCCGGCGGGATCGGCTGTTTCGAGTCATCTTGATACGCGTTATCGGTATTTTCTACTTAACTCGAGCTGTAGGGCAGCGTAGAGCTCCCCTTAGCAAGTTATTGCTGGAAGCTTGAGAGTAATTCCGGAGCGCTGGAGAGCTAGTTGGCAAGACAAATTTCGACGGACCTTTTGGTGACTTTGGGTCGGTTGAAAAATTTGTTCTCGAAATTCAACAATTCGTTGAGCTCTAGTATTTTTTCCGTGATATTCGATCTTATTACCGCTCGCCATCTTGATCTCAGCTCGATCGGGTACCTTTTACTGCCAAAAAGCGTCCCGGCGGGATCGGCTGTTTCGAGTCATCTTGATGCGCGTTGTCGGTATTTTCTACTTAACTCGAGCTGTAGGGCAGCTACAGTGCTGGTAAGCAACCCTATCGCACTCAGAATCATCAGGCGCGTTCGCCTGTTCAATCTATAAGTCTGAACTCGGTCTGCTAGCCGAGCTAGGTCCACCAACCTATTCGTATTATTCGAGTGAACTTGATATGCGTTATCGGTATTTTCTACTTAACTCGAGCTGTAGAGCAGCTACAGTGCTGGAAAGCACACCTATCCGGTGGGACGACGAAATGTTGCAAGTTGCTCCTGGCCGCGCACGGCCGCGCCGACATTGCGACGCCACCTCGACAAAACGCCCCCGCCCCCTAAATTTCAATGTTGGCATCGGGCGAGAACCCCAAGTCCGGGAGGACAGAATAATGCAAGTCAACATTGAAATACGGGGGAAGGGGAGCTCCTCGGATATCGATGGAATATGATCAAAATTGTCATCTTGTTTCTCGGAACGATCATATAACTTGCGATATTTTGTCCGCCCACTGTCGCACTCAGAATTATCAGGCGCGTTCGCCCGTTGAATCCATAAATCTGAACTCGGTCTGCTAGCCGAGCTAGGCCTGCAAACCTATTCGTATTATTCGAGACAACTTGATACGCGTGGTGGGTATGTTGTACTTAATTCGAGCTGCAGGGCAGCTACAGAGCTGGTAAGCCCATCCATCGCATTCAGAATCATCAGGCGCGTTCGCCTCTTCTGAACTCGGTCTGCTAGCCGAGCTAGATCCGGAAATCTATTCGTATTATTCGAGGCATCTTGAGAAACGCTCTCGGTTTTCTGTACTTAACTCGAGCTGTAGGGCAGCTACAGAGCCTATAGTCACAGAAATCAATTGGAATTATCGGGCGCGTTTCTCTATTGTATCAAGAGCTCTGAACTCGGCCTGCTGCCCGAGCTAGGTTCGCGAAACTATTTGTAGTGTCGGAATCATCGTGAAAAGTGCTCTCAATTTTCTGCACTCAACTCGTGCTGGGGGAGGGCTACAGTGCTGCGCATCATAGAAATCGATTTGCACACATCAGGCGCGTTCGTTGGTCGATTCGAGAGCTCAGAACTTGGTCTGCTGCTCGAAACTCCGCGAAACTATTGTATTATTGGAGTCATCCTGATAGATGCTGTCGGGGCTGGTAATCACATGTGTCGATTCGCAGACATCAGACGCGTCCGCCTGTCGCATTGAGAGGTTTGAACTCGGTCTGATACTCGAACTGGGTTGCGAAACTGTTTGTTTTTTTGTTAGAGTCATCTTGAGAGGTCTGAAATCGCTTCGGCTGGAAACTAGTCGTTCTCTCGATTTTTTCCCGCACTATATACTGTCAGGAAACTCTACGAGTCCCAGGCGGCAAGAAAGATTGACGGTTTACCGCCGGCGCCCAGTTACTCTCCAGGTTTTGGACGCTACCAATCGTCGACCAGGTTACCGCCGGAAGCCTTGTAGAGCTCTTCTCTGCACGACGCTTCTTGGAACACATGGGGGAGCTCTCTTACGGACGGAGAGGTCGATGGTTGGTGTAAGAGGTTGCATTTCGCGCCGAAGAAGCTGCCTAGCCAGGCGGTGATGAAGCGCGAGGCGGTGGAGGCGGAGCGCGCCCGCGCCAGGAAGCGCGCGCGGGCGGCCCAGTGCGCGGCGAGGGGGGAGAACGGATTCGCTGAGTTCCGTGGTCTGCTGCTGGAGGACGAGTGCTTCCAGCAGACAACTGCGAAGCGAGCGTGCAGCTGGACCAGCGACACGCTCTGGAGCCGTGGTACCAGCGCGCGGGGCCCGACGGGAGCAGGCTGGCGCCCTGGCCGCGGCGCGTCTTCGGTATCCGAATGCGTGGGCCGGCCCTGGCCGTGCGTTCTTCTCCGAGGCCGTGGAGTCGGGTTTCGACGCCGACACGTTCCCCCAGGGGCGGCGCGGCTACTAACGGGCGAGCCGGGCGACGTGCCCGCGGAGCTCTGGCTGTTGCGGGCCTGGTGCCGCGCGCGCGGCGGCGTCGCTCGCAAGGGCGACGCCCTGGCCGCGCGCTTGCAGCAGCTCGAGGGCGACCGCGACATTATGTACAGGGTGGAGGCCGCCGAGGGCGCGCGGCGGTCCCCGAGTGGCGACCTGAAGCCGCCCGTGTACTTGGCGGACCTGAAGCCGCAGGCGATCCCCGAGTGTCCCGTCTGGCAGCAGCTCCTCAAGCTGAAGCCTCAGGCGGCGCGGCAGGTGGCGGCTTTCGTGCGCCGGGAGCGGGCGGGCGTGGGCTTGACGTGGAACCTCGCCGCGGGGCACTGGGACCTGGACCAGCAGCGCCTGCTCGCCGCGCTCGACAGGGATCCCGCGTTGCTCGCCGGGGTGGAGAAGGACGCGGCGCTTACAGACCCGGACAGGCGCGCTCTGATTGCCCTCGACGATTTCCGTGCCCGTCACGGCGGTGTCTGGCCGGACGCGTTCGCCGATCGGCGCGGGGGGCCCGATTTCAAGGAAGCGAAGCTCGCGCGGGGTGTTGCAAGTGCGGCGCAGAAGTATTCGCAGGAATTCGTACGCATCTGGTTGGACCGGACATGCAGCGAATGGCTGCGGCTGGCGGGGTGCGGGGATGAGGTGGTGGGAGGAGGGGCCGGCGGCGACGACTCTTCCGGGGGCGGCGGCGGCGGCGGCGGCGGGTCTTCTTCGGGCAGCGGTGCAAACGGTGGACCAGCGTCGGGGTCGGGCTCTGGTGCGCAGGGGCCGGGCGACGGTGGCGCGGGCGGCGACGGCGACGGGCGCGCGGGCGGGGGCGCTGGTCGGCTGCTCGGCAGCGGGCCCAAGAGGCGAGCTCCCGAGGGCCCAGGGCCGCGGACTCGCGGCGCGGCGAGAAGGGACCAGGAGCGGTTGCAGCAGGAGCGGCTGCGGAAGGAAGAGGAGGAGCGTCTCGCAGGGAAGACAGTGAAGGCAGGGGACGTGGAGGTGAACGTGGCTCTGGATGACTCCCACGTGAGCGAGGAGGGCACCCTGCCGGCCTGGCTCCTGGACCCCGCGCCGTGCGTCGC